AGAAAATGAAAAAGTTCTGAGTGTACATAATATTCAGTAATAAACTTCCACCGGGTTCAATTTGGATTGCATATGTGCTGATTACCGTTCCCGACAGGGATTTTGTTTTGTTTTCAACAGACCGTGATCGTGTTTTCCTAAAGATGCTTTGGGTTTTTTTTTTTTTCTCTCTCTGTCTTTAAATATCTTAACTCCCCCCCCCACCACCTTTCTCTTTTCTTCCTTTGACTTTTTCTTTCTTTCTTTCTTTCTTTCTTTCTTTCTTTCTTTTTTTTTTTTTTTTAAATATTGATTCAGGGGTGTTTTTCCACTGTTGTCGAGGGAGGGTCATAAGGGGTATTGGCCCCTTGGCCTCCCAAAACTTTTGTTTTATGTACTTAAGTTTAAAATGTGAGTTTGAGTTCTCTTTTGTGGAAACTTACGATGTGGTGTAAATGATTCTTTCCAAAATTGTCCAGCAGCTTTAATGAGGCAGTGACAATTTCTAAGTAGTTGATTGGGAGTCCTTTTGCATTTCTCCTTAGGTAACTTTGCAATCTGGGTGGCTCTTGTATAGCCTCACTGCCCCAGAGTGCCTGGTTAGCCATTTCCCCTCGGATAGGAATGTTTTGTAAGAATCTGCTGATAACCTGGATTTCGGGGGCCCTTGTTATCCGGGTCCCTGGGAAACACACGTTTTCTGGATTTTGAAAACCCAAAACGCAAGCAACTTCACATTTTGGGGAACTAGCTGATGTGCCTCCCGAGGCCTGAGGAGGTGGTGGGGAATATGAGCGGTGCTGTCTCTTTAAAAGTGCCCTTTATATGATTCCCCCTCCTGGGGCCTCCCACCGGGGCTGTAGGCTTGGGAGAGATTGCGTAGGTGACAGTGAATCAGAATGAAATGGTAGGTTTTGTGTAGATGCATTTGTCTGCTGTAATTTTTATATATATATTAAACTTACTGTAACTGTACAGTTCGTTTCTGTTGTAAAACATCATTAAACCATTTTCCAAGTGTTTTCACATTGTTGGAGTTTCCTTGCACTTGTCGTGTTGGTATTCTGGACGCTTCCCGCACACAGACCGTCGCATAAGCCTTCCCGTGGGTCTTTTCCAGGAGGGGCTCTCAGGGGTCCCAGGCACTGGAGGCACCTTGGTTCCTAGCCCACCCCCACCCTGGGTCCCACCGCCCACTTCCTCCTGTGTCCCCTGGAGTGCTGTGGCCGCCACACCTCTCTCGCTCCCCAGACCCTGAGGGTTCAGGGTCGTCTCCTCGCACCCCAGGGCTTTGTGTGACCAAAGAAAGCGACTGGTCCTGCAAGATCACCCTTCAGGGCTCCCATTTCTCTTGTGTCTTTGATGGCAGACCAGGTATTGAATTTGACTTTTCCACCCTTCGCTCTTTATACACTTTGGTGCCCCTCCAACGTTTCCTGCCACATCCTGAACACCCATTCCCTGAGGGTTCTCTGAAAGAAGCTAGCCCCGGACTTGGCATCTGGTTCTCCTGTCGGAGGGCACACAACTCAACTTCACTCCCTCTAGCTTCTACGAGTTCACATTTAGCGTCTGGAATGCAGTTTGTTGAATGAGAATTCGAGGCTTTTTCTTTTCGTTTAATGTTTATTTTTTGAGAGAGAAAGCAGGAGCCGGGGAGGGGCAGAGAGGGATGGGGACGAAGGATCTGAAGCGGGCCCCAGGCTGACAGCAGAGAGCCCAACGCGGGGCTCGAACTTCCAAAGCGGAGCCAAGGTCAGATGCTCGACCGACCGAGCCACCCAGGTGCCCCTGAAAATCTGAATCCTAAAGCGAGTTTCCCACAGAAAGCAAACATCAGCTTGTTGAAGAGCTTTGGGAGGCTAACTTCCCTGTCTCTCGACCGTGTGCGACCCGGGTCTACTGGATGTTCTCCCTGAAGTAGGAGAGCGCTGCTGTCTCAAGACGTGCTTGCACCCTCTGAAGGGCCCGGAATGGGAAGGCCGATCTCGGTTCCTCTCGTCCCCTGATGTAACCCGACTAGGCTGCTATCCCACCCCTCGGGTTTGTAGCTTGCATGTAAGTTTGGGAAGTTTATCCCTTAAAGCAATTTGCGGAGTCCTTAACAAATCTTCTGTTTGGTAGAGACTGACCTGCTCGCTCGCCAGCATGAGAAAGACCTCAGAAGGCAAAAGCCATCCCTACAGAATGGGGATAAAGTACTGATTATCATCACCCTGTAGGCCTTGTTAAGAAGGGAGTTACGTTCTAACCCACTTCCGCTTGGCATGGGCCAAGCTGAGTTCCCCGCGAGAGGGTGTCCATGACATCTGCTCTGTTGCTGCCTTTCCTTTCTCCAAAAACGAGCGCTCGAAGATGCAGGACCTCTGTAGTTAGAACTCAGTCGTAGGGTCGCAGAAACGTCCGGTGCCAGGCTGCCAAAACGCATCATGAGTTCTTGTGGACAGGGACCAGGTCTACAGCTACGGCTGAACAGCCGACCGAATGGCCAGGCTTTGAGTCCCCTTGGAACCTCCTCTTAGCTTGAATTAATCACCTGCCCTTCTTGTCCCTGCCCAACCCGGCTTCGGTGACCGTTGTGTTCTTAGGGCATACTCCAGGAAGAAGAAAACTTGATCAGAAATATCCACATCCTACCTAACTTCAGTGACAACAAAGTGATGCAGGTTTTTAAAAATACCAAAAGCTTCCATTTTAATTTACATGCACACGCAACACGTCCGTGCTTCCTCAATGCAAGTGAGCGGCCTTCCTTTGTTCTAAAACCCATCTTCCTATTTTAACACGAAACAGGGCTGCATCTTACAATGGATGTTTCTGTTAAGAGTTGGGTTTTTTTTTTTTTTTTACATAAAATAAGTTGGCGGCACATCTGAGCCGATCAGTAGCTTCTTGGGATGGAAGGAATCCACCTGTGCTTTGGAGGGGGGAGCCCCGGGCCCTAGGAAGCGGCACCCGGGCCGCCTCCCCTTGACCCTGGGCTCCTCCCCCCAGCACTTGTGGCTCTCACCCAGCTGGCTCTTCTGTGCGTGCGGGCGTCTTGCCCGTGGTCCGGTAAGTGCCCTTGCCCACCCAGGTCAGCTGTGGCACCCACACCTCGCCGCTGGCTTTCCTCCCTGCCTCTTGAGCCAAATTGTTGACGGGACTGGGCCAAACTCTTGTTTTCAAGCCAGCCATACATACGGGTCACACGGCCTGCGTGTAACTCCGCGGACCCTGAAACTAGGCCTGACGTGTGAGGCTGACTCACTTTGACTGACAGATGAACCCAACTTCGGGTGCCCGGTGAGTAGAAGACAAAGGAGTGGCAACCCAAAAGGGGCCGTCTGTTGTCTTCGACTCAAGGCCGCTAACGCCACACAACACCCATTTCCTGTCCCGTTGCCTCGTGACCAGGTTACATAATTAGGGCTGGCTGTCATCAGCCGTCCTACGTTCTGTCCCTCCTCCGAGGCCTTCCGCCCGGGAAACTTGCCCGCTTCTCCGGTAGCTTAGCGGGCTCTGTCCGCACCCCTTCGCGGGCAGCCACCCCTCCCCGCCTGGCCCCTGTGTGTCGCGACACAGCCGTGGGATGCTGCTCTTTGTGATCCGCCTGGCGTCCAGCGGCAAAATTTCAAGCCCCTAAGCCTGTGGTGGTACTTCTCTGTCCTCCCGGGTGGCTTGTAAAGTGCTGGGCACGGAAAATACGTAGGTGCAGGGTAAATATTTGTTGAATGGAATTGAATTCCCCCTACGAGGCCGGATTACAAATTGAATGCCTTGTCTTCGGGAGTTGTTACGCGTTTCGCCCGGGCCCGGCATGCACAGCGCTCCTGCCGGAATCCTAGGTGCTCGGGGGGGGCTTTTAACAGCCACGATCTTGGGTTCTGATCTCAAACACGACCCGATATTAACTGCTAGCTTGATGAGTTGGGGCCTCGCCTACAGCCCCTACATTTATTTTTTTTTTTATTTTTTTATTTTTTAACGTTTATTTTATTTTTGGGACAGAGAGA